TTCATTGTTTATTTTATCCATTAACATATCTGAACTTTGTCACAGACAAAAAAAACACACACACACAAAAAAACTGATTTCATTCACAGGTCGTTAAAATGCTCTTCATTATCCAATGACGTTATTTGGGTTTCCCATTAGCGTTCCCGCTATAAAAATTCCACAAATGATAAATACATTTATGTAGAGAGTTCAGTTGGGCCAGTATTTCACCACACCATTAAATCTTCCACAAATACTTACCTTCTATAGGTCCCCAGGTCTTCTGTTGAAAAATACCAACCAAAAATATTAAGAAGAGTCCCAGGTCACAGATTTTCTGAAGATAGAAGACATATTCTTTAGAAGCCAGGAAAATCTTTGGAATACTCCGGAATACCTTTGGGTCGTAGAATTTGTTAAAAATCCTTCAAATGAAAATCTATTCAAAATAATTTGCAGCTTGTTTATAAACAGAAGAGCATCTACAAGTCGTCGGGTAAACGACCTTCTAAAGGTCTCTTATAGGTTTTATTTCTTCTACAAGTTTTAAATGTAATTTCATTCGTCCCTTGTTGAACTCACTCTGTTGATCCCTTGATCCTTGCAGACATTGTGAGAAAAAAATCGCAATTGACAATAAAACAAAACGGATTAGTTACCCTCCCTTAAGAAAGGTCAATGGCATACTTTTGAATTTTGTCAAGATATTCAAGTTTTATTCTTAACAATCTTATTTGAAATTTCCAATTGGGTATTGTCGAAATTGGCAACATCAAACCGTTACATGTATGAGTTTGATCTCGTACATAATTTACTTCACAACATTGTAAGGGTTTGGCAAGAATGGCAGAGCATGTATGTTAACAAGGTTGCCATTTTTCCGCATTTGTTGTTAAATCAAGTAAAAAGCAGCTAAGTTTGTCCGGGTCGAACTTTTAATACCCTCTACCATTTGGAAAGAACTTAAAAAAATCAAACAAAAAAATCCTTAAAACTACTTCTTAATTGGAAACCGTTATGTGTGGACTATACGAAGCCGTCAACATTTTTTTGTCATATCCTGTAGTACCCATTACGAACTTCAAATACGAAATTTGAAGCAGTTCCGTTATATTAGGGATATACAATATAGGGATTACGTGTACCTGCATACGACATTTGTGTGTGATAGGCTGTAGTACTCATTGCGAACTTTAAATATGAAATTTGTTACAATTCCGGTGAATAATGTCGCAAAAATCATGAAAATACCGAGTATAGGGAGGTACCGTCATATGGGGGCTATACGAAGACTTGGACCTGCATACGAAATTTTTTGTCATAGGTTGTAGTACCCATTAAGATCTGTCAATACGGAATTTGGAAAATCAGTCTTTTTTGACGCATATTCTCAATACTATAAGTAACACCTAAAAATTATTTGAAAATAATCTACTGGAATTTTTACCAAATCCAATGAAATTACTTTTTGGAACCATTTAGAGTAATTTTATCAAACAGGACGTTATAAGAAATAATATTCATTTAACTGACTTTGTGGACACCAATTTTTATATCCTCAGGCATATGGCTAGAGAGGGTATATATCATTTGATACGGCTAAAACGTGCCTCATCGAAATAACGGTTTTAGCCCCTAGGTCTCTTTGACCAAATCTGTTTCAGAACTATTTAGTGAGAAAAGAAACACGACCGCTTCGTTAGGTTGTTATTTCAATTCTGATTTTATTTGAAAAATATGTTCCTTACGTACTACTGAAACTAATCTAACTTAACCTAGACGGAGCCACACAATTGTTCTTGTCTATTCTAATATTGAATGGAGAACATTGCAGGGCTGCTTGACATCTCATTCAAGTGGTCTTGTGCATCTACTGAGCGCATCGATATATGTGCGTGTGGGTCATAACCTTTATTATCTCACAGTAAAAACAACTTAAATTGCAGCGATCATATAAATGTACAACAGAGTTTCTTTTGTTTGCCATTCTCCTTGTAATTTGTCATTCTCCTTGTAATTTCAGTTGCTTCAGTTTTGGCCACCAGCGCACATCCTCCTATAGTTTTATTCGAGCAGTCGATTAGGGAGGTGATGCCGGATATTTTTTTGAATACACCGTTAGAAATATTGATGAATATAATGCTAGGAACACAATTGGAGCGAACGACGAAATTCGTTGTATGGAACACAATACCTACGAATAAAACAGCTGATGAAGTTGTTTACTTTTTGCTCATTTGTTGACTACAATGAATCAGAGAATTGTAAAATTTATTAAAATTTTTAAAATAATTAACATAATGTATATTATAGTAAAAGCTTATCTGCTCGTGCGAAAACGTTTACGGAGAAGATTTTGGGTACGGCCAGTGAACATTAAAAGAAACACCGAAGGATTCCAGAGAATGGCTTTTCTATTATAATTTCACTTATGTCCATCTTCTCTATTACAAATTCACTGATATCCATCTTCACTCAGGCGCAAGTACACAAATAAATAAACAAATTAATTATGTTTTTTTTTTTTTTTATACGAGTAACAGATAGTAGAGTGACCATAACAAATTTTAAAGTAAAAAGTAACTTTATTTACTAAAATACATAAAATTCGTGCAAGTATGTCCACCTTGTACCTTTTTTTCGCCGTTCGCCGGCGTATGAAATAGAAATAAAGCTAATTGAGTTCGCGGCGTCCGACGAAATTTTCGACGGCGCCGTGATTGTGTGCATTTCCATACACACATATGTTTTTTTATTTTTGACTACGAACATACGCCTCATGGTAGAAAAATATAGGTAGACGCGTCGACACAGCTGCTGGGACAATGAACTGTCAAACCAATTTTGGAATTGAAAATGTTGAATGAAAAATTATTTAAATTTGTAAAAATTGTTGAAAAACGCGAATTATAATAGCCTCCGAATGACGTAGTATAAGAAAACATATAAAAATCCACTTATATTCGAAAAAACATTTAAATTTTTTTGACATGTCAATGCTCCCAAGCGTTGATGCATCTACCTGTATTCTTCTGCCATGATACGCCTCGAAAAATTCGTCGTTTGCTCCAATTGTGTTCCTAGCATAAATTTAACTTTCTATATATTTATGCTCTCCCCAAAAAATTAGTTTAATTTGCATAGTGAATGAGAAATGTTCTAAATATCCTTTTGTTTCACACATATCTATAAAAAATTACTGAATTTTGGCGAGCCACTCATTTATAATTTTTCATTAAACCATTATCCACGTCCGAAGACTCTTCATAAAATATTCTTTAAAAAATCCACGTCCCGAAGACTCTTCATAAAATATTCTTTAAAAAATCCACGTCCCGAAGACTCTTCATAAAATATTCTTTAAAAAATCCACGTCCCGAAGACTCTTCATAAAATATTCTTTAAAAAATCCACGTCCCGAAGACTCTTCATAAAATATTCTTTAAAAAATCCACGTCCCGAAGACTCTTCATAAAATATTCTTTAAAAAATCCACGTCCCGAAGACTCTTCATAAAATATTCTTTAAAAAATCCACGTCCCGAAGACTCTTCATAAAATATTCTTTAAAAAATCCACGTCCCGAAGACTCTTCATAAAATATTCTTTAAAAAATCCACGTCCCGAAGACTCTTCATAAAATATTCTTTAAAAAATCCACGTCCCGAAGACTCTTCATAAAATATTCTTTAAAAAAACCACGTCCCGAAGACTCTTCATAAAATATTCTTTAAAAAATCCACGTCCCGAAGACTCTTCATAAAATATTCTTTAAAAAATCCACGTCCCGAAGACTCTGCATAAAATATTCTTTAAAAAATCCACGTCCCGAAGACTCTTCATAAAATATTCTTTAAAAAATCCACGTCCCGAAGACTCTTCATAAAATATTCTTTAAAAAATCCACGTCCCGAAGACTCTTCATAAAATATTCTTTAAAAAATCCACGTCCCGAAGACTCTTCATAAAATATTCTTTAAAAAATCCACGTCCCGAAGACTCTTCATAAAATATTCTTTAAAAAAATCCACGTCCCGAAGACTCTTCATAAAATATTCTTTAAAAAAATCCACGTCCCGAAGACTCTTCATAAAATATTCTTGAAAAAATCCACGTCCCGAAGACTCTTCATAAAATATTCTTGAAAAAATCCACGTCCCGAAGACTCTTTAAAAAATCCACGTCTCGAAGTCTCTTCAAAACTATTCTTTACAAAATCCACGTCCCGAAGGTTCCTCAAGAAATATTCTTTAAACAATTCACGTATCGAAGGCTCTTCAGAAAATATTCCTTAAAAATCGACGTCTTGTAGACTGTTCAAAAAATATTCTTTAAAAAATTCACGTATCGAAAGCTCTTCAGAAAATATTCTATAAAAGTTCCACGTCTAGAAAGCCTTAAAAAAATATGAAAATAGATATAAAAATAAAAAAGCAATAAAGTATTTTTCACAGTGTATAGAGAGGTAGTGTCTCTTTACCTCTCTATACACTGTGTTTTATTTCAGAGATCTCTGCCTAGCCCTGCTGTAAACAATCTTTCAGATTAAGTTGAGAGAAATAATAATTTTTGAAAATTGTTACCGCTTCTATGGGATGTGCTTCGAAATAGATCCAAAACTGGTAGGAATAGTTTGGACCAGTGAAATAATCACTACAAAAGTTATCTTGGGGACTTAACAGCCGCAAAGGCAGACAGACGGATTGATGAACATAGTTTCCAACAGTCTAGAAATGAATTTTGGACATAGCTGTCATATCAGATGATGAACTCACTCTCATGCTTATCCCATTATTTTTTTCAATATTTCCCAAACAGTGGCAACTCTGGTCATACAAAACACGAAATATGTTGTTCCCCGTTACCCAAAACCCCAAGATATAGCAACCTCCCTATGTATGTGTGTTTGTGTATCTATGTAGTTTGTTTGGTCGGTCAACGTCGTCGTTGTTATCGTAGACGATGTCGTCGTGTACTCTCTCCCCGTCGTATGTGTATGTGTGCGTGCATCTGTGTGTTTTGTTTGGGTTTCTTCTTCTGTGTGTTTTCTTTCGTGTTCGTGTCTCGTGTTAATTTTAGAAAAAATTTAATTCATTTCAATTCAGTGACTGGTGGCAAACGGGTGAAGTTGTTTTTTGTAAGCGGAACGTTCTCGTCAAGTCAATGCTGTTGAGAGTTCAAATAATAGTAATAACAACAACAAGTGATTAATTTTATGTTTCTTTTCCTTTTTTGCTTTCTTTGCAAAAAAAAATAAATAAATAACGTGGGAAGCAAAGTGCGGCAAGTGTTGAAAGAGTCAAAAGAGAAAATCATTTTTTGAATGTGAAAATGCCAATGCCAAAAAAAATTAAATAAAAAAGGTGTTGTGAGAGTGTTACAGAAAATTTATTGTGTATTTAAAGGTAATTAAAAATAATTTTAAAAGATTAAAAATGCATTTATTGCAAATTCTGTGACAAAAAATAAATTTGAATAAAAAACCGGGCGTTGCCTCTTACGAATCGAAGAAAATACAAGAAACAAAAAAATTAATTTATAAAATAGTTAAAAAGAACAACAATCATGAGATAACATGACAACAAAGAAATAAATACAACACCAAAAAAAGATACGTTGTTCGTGGTGTAGTTAACAATAAAAATCGAAAGAAAAAATAACAACAAAAACAACATAACAGCAACAGTGTCAATGACGACACCACAGAGCAGCAATAACAACAACACCAATAATAATAAAACGCATGGAAAATTCCAAAAAGTGAAATATTTTTACAAGTAAATAAGTTTTTGTGTAGTTACTCTACGATCTACGAAGGAGAAGAAAATAATAATAACAGCAGCAGCAACAACAACAACACCCAGTTATCACACACCAAAAAAAAATTAAAGAGCAATCCATGGTGCCGCTATTCTCATAGATGAGATACTTATTAAAAAAACACATATTTTCCATTCGAGATACACACATGCACACACAGATACATCTCCGTTCAGCCAGCAATGTAGTCAGCAGCCTGTGTGCGTGTTTGTTCGTGTATGTGTCTGTCGGTGTTCGACTTTGCATGGTGTCATGTCTTCTTGTTGGAATTATAAAATGATCACGTTTTTCAAGTGACAAAGCAAAAAGCCCCACAATATAACACATTTTTGGGAACCTGTCAAAAATTCCAAAATGTTCGAAACATGTTTTTAGTACAATTCAAAAAAAAAAAAAACACAACAGTAGTAATAACCAAAACAGCAATGAATGATGTGAACAAAATGATGTGTGATTTTTTAATTTAATTTTTATAAAATTGAGGGAAAAAAAAGGAAATACAAAACAAAGTTCAAATTGTTAATCTCCCATATGTGTGTGACTCGTGCTCTCTACCTCTCTCTATTTGTGTATTTCTCTCTCGCTCATTGTAGTAAAATAATGCATAGACTCGGCATTCATGTGTAGCCAAACAAAAGCCGTCTAGGTTTTTTTTTTTTTTTGATAAGAGTTTCACGACACGAAGACTACGTGCTGGCCGAATGTGAAACACCAGCAACAATAATAACAACAACATAATATCTGGTAACACATACACCAACAACAGCGGCCTCACTTCATACACTCGTACAACACTCAATATCTCATTGTATGCTATTTGCTTGTTTTTTTTTTTGTTTCTTCTTATTGTTTTTGCCGTTCTTTGTTTTGGTTGTTACAAGTTGTTGTTTTTGTTGTCTCTCTGTGCAATGCGTGTAACCGACGTGTGAGAAATTTACGTGCTCGCCACGTTCGATTAACTAAACATAAACGTGCAGTGAATGGAAACGTTCAGTGAAAAATCACCAATGGAAAAAGTTTTATTGAAAAATAAAAATTTTAATACTATTCAAATTAATAAATAATACCTAGATGCAACCAAAATAAATTAATACCCACCTTTTATAAAATAAATAAATAAAAAAGTGTAAAAAATTGATTTTTTGGTGAAAATAGTATTCGATGTTCGAAAATGCTCTCGATATCGGTTATTAAATAAGTAAAAGTACTATTAGGCAGGGACGTACACAAGGGAGCACTAAAATACTATTATTGAATTTAAAGGCGACATGCAGCTATGACTAATGTGGCATAAGTTGTCAATTTGGGCTCCGTAATATTACGTTTGATTCATCCCACAACGCCAGTTCTGCCACTAAAAGTGGCGCACTGGGCACCACACCAAAAAAGGTGCTGTTCTTACCCATTAATAGTATTAGAATGGGTTAAGGTCGTTTCGACCCTAAGGCCCCTAATCATTCGCTTTACCAGATTCGATTATTTTACATAATTTTTAAATGCACGAGTTATCCTGAGGGAAACTTGGGAGGGAAGCAACTACTAGATGATTCGATTGGTCTTTCGCCCCTATACTCAATCCTGACGATCGACTTTCACGTCAGATCTGTGTCGGTCTTCCATTAAGAGTATCCCTGACGTCAGCCTGATCAAATATAGTTCATCATCTTTAGGGTTACAGCATATATGCTCAAGGTACGCTCTGTAGTGGAATTCTCTAACTCATTTTTTGAGTTACCGACAAAAGTCGGTAAACTTAAAATGCAATGTAATTAAGGAAATTTTTCGTTAAGCTAGCGACGAAATCAAAGTAGTCGTTAAGACCAATATTGCCGACTTTTTATATCAAAAATTTGGGTTTTAAAGTTACCGATTTTTGTCGGTAACTCAAACAATGACTTAGAGAATCCCACTAACGGTTAAATTTGCAGCGTATATATCCAGGAAATATCTCGTTTTTTTTTTTGTAAATTAAATATATTCTAGGTGTAACAAGCCCAAAATATATTAAATAAAGTTAAAGGAACCCTTTGAGAAAAAGAATGGCTTATTCATTGGAAATCTAATCGATAATACCTATAACAAAAAATGTTTAAAAGAAACTTGGGATGCAACCTTAAAAATTAAATATCGATAGTGTGTCATCTCTGTGGTCTAGACTTAAGCCCTGTTCCCATGGCGATTTGAATTACGTTGTTCACTCTCAAAATTACGTATAGAAATTAAATCGTACCTCTAGATATTCAGAATTTTTATGATTTCACCTTTTCACCTGAAATTTTTTAAACTTGGAATTTGAAGTTCCTAATGGGTACTACATCCTATGACAGAAAATTGCTTATACACATCTTCGTATATATATATATATATATATATATATCTGTACCTCCCGATATTCGGTATTTTGATGATTTTAGCGATATTTTTGCCGGAATTGTCTAAACTTTCGTATTTGAAGTTCCTAATGAGTACTACAGCCTGGAACAGAATATTGCCTACGCAGGTCTGCGTCTTCGCGTAGTCCCCATATCACGGTATCTCCCTATGTTTTTTTTTTTTTTTTTTTTTTTTTGATTATTCCAATTGTTACTACGATATTACTATCAGTTAAATTAGCTGACTCTTACAAGTTTTCGAGCAGGGCCTTAAAGTGAATTCGATTTGAAACCAAATAATAACCAGCAACGCAAATGAAAAAATGGAGTTAAAAATACTATATAATAATACATGAAATCTAATTATTAAACAATAAATTAAATTTAAATTTAAATTTTAAAATAATAAAAAAATGAAAATTGTTGAAAGAATATAAATGTTGTAAAATTTTAAATAATAATGATATGTTGTAAATTTTAAAATAATAATAACGCCAATCTTTAACAAAAAATCAATCAAAAATCAACGAATGTTTATGGCAGCTGTAACTATTTATTACAAAAGAATAAAAAATAATTTATTTAAATTAGTTTTTTTTATTAATATTATATTTTTATTTACGCCAATTAATATTTTTTGTTTCTTTTATTTTTAGAAATCGCCAAAATATTGAAGCATTTATACCTAAAGAGTGTTTAAAACAAAATCCCACAAAAAGAAAACAACAAACCTAAACAGTGGCTGTATAAATTATTTTCAAAATATTGCCAAAAAAAAATAAATTAAAATAAAATGTTTAAAGAAAACAACCCACCTGTGAAATAAAATTCAAAAAAAAACAACAATAGTGTAAATTGAAAAAAAGCGAAAAAACAAGTGTTCCATTACCCACAAAAAGAAAGATTATCTACCAAGATACATATGTTTTTACAACAACTAAATGCAGTATATATTTTAAATATTTTCATCAGAGTTTTGTTGTTGACTTCCTTTGAATGAGCATTTTCGGTTGTGTGATACTGTCACCCAAAGACGACGACAACAACAGCGCCATCGTTCTGCGCCAACAAATAAGAAATACAGCAAAAAATACAAACCTCCCCAAAACATAACAACAACCTGTTTGAGTGTAAAAACCAACAAACAACAACATCAGTGAGAACAGAAAAATCAAAAAGAGAACGAAAAAAATATATATCTCTTTCCCCTGTCACGCAGTGTACCTGTAAACATTTAATTCATTTTTTTTCAATTCTGGATATATCAACGAAATTTTTCAACATTCCACCACAACAGCAACACATCTTAAAACCTTTAATAATATCCTCCAACAATCCTTCGTCATCGTCCTGCAACCATTTAGTTGATGTCAAACAACAGAGTTTATGTTCCCGTAGCAGCCACCATCTCCCAACAAGCAACGTCATCTCTTCAAAATTAACAGCAACAACAGCAGCACCTACGCTCAGTTGCTCCAGCTTTACATCTTCGTCATCGTCAAAAATTCCCGAAATTGTCCAGCAAACCAGCCTCACCATTAACGGCAAAATCAGCAACACGAACCTTAGCGGCAAACGCCCCACAAAAATTAAAAACGAAATTATGGAACCGTCGTATTGGGGTGATGCCAATGGACATGCTCCACATTCCGTCAAGTATGAAAAGTAAGTGTTGGTGTTGTTGTTTAACCTTTCCTTGGAATCGAACAAAAATGTTCGAATTGAAATTAATTTGGAAAGCATTTCTGTTTTTTTTTTTCTATGGTATACCTTTTTCTGTTTTTCTTTTTCCATCGTTCTCAATTTGTAGCTGTGTATACCCATGTATTTTTATGTGTCCTTAGAATATCAAGGTCGTCTGGCATCAGAAAAACAAAGAAGCAAGGGTCTATATTATGTGGAAAAAGGAGACCACAGATTTAGTTTTCACGGAATTTTAGGCAACATTTTCAATGAAAATCGTGAAAAGAAGTCAAGAGTCAAGGTAATCATATTGGGTCTTCTTTTGTTCAGCAGGTGGAAGGAAAAAGGTTAGGGGGTCTCGTATTCAATGCCACCTTTTAAGAATGGAAATTTCGGTGTTCCTCTAAGCGATAGGAGACCTTTGGGTCTTTTTCTGTACTACGGAAAACCTTCGACTCTTCTATTTAGTTCTTAAGAAGACTTTCCCGAATTTTTAGTACTAAAAACTTCTGTACTAAAACACATCTTCTTCTGTACTAAGAATAACTTTGGTTTTTTATTTAGTACAAAAAATACCCTCGTGTCATTTTCTTTAGTACCACAGTTTTTCTTATTACAGAAGAAGATCTACGGGTCGATGATCTGTACTAAAGAATATCTATAGGTCCATATTTCAGTGCTAAAGAAGATATGCAGATCTTCATTTGTACTAAAGAAGATGTACAGATCTTCTTCTGTACTAAATTAGATGTACAGGTCTTCTTTAGTATTAAAGAAAATCTATAGATCTTCTACTGTACTAAAGAAAATCTATAGATCTTCTACTGTACTAAAGAAGATCTATAGATCTTCTTCTGTACTAAAGAAGATCTATAGTTCTTCTTCTGTACTAAAGAAGATCTATAGTTCTTCTTCTGTACTAAAGAAGATCTATAGTTATTCTTCTGTACTAAAGAAGATCTACAGATCTTCTTCTGCACTAAAGAAGAGTACAGAAGAATTAGATCTGTACTAAAGAAGGTGTACAGAACTTCTTCTGTACTAATGGAGATCTACAGATCTTCTTCTGTACTAATGGAGATCTACTGATCTTCTTCTGTACTATTGGAGATCTACAAGTCTTCTTCTGTACTAAAAAAGACCTAGAGATCTTTTTCTGTACTGAAAAAGATGTACAGAGCTTCTCATGTACTATATCTTCTTTATTCAGTAGAGTACAGAAGAATTAGATCTGTACTAAAGAAGATGTACAGATCTTCTTCTGTACTGATGGATATCTACAGATATTCTTCTGTACTAATGGAGATCTACAAGTCTTCTTCTGTACTAAATAAGATGTACAGAGCTTCTCTTGTACTATATCTTCTTCAGTCAGATCATCTTCTGACCCAAAGAATATCTTCTTCATCTTCTTCTATACTATGGAAGATCATCAGATCTGAACAGGAGATTTCTGTAAGAAGTCCTTCTTATCATATAATCTTCTTTGGAAGTAGACCTTCTGCTTTTCTAGAAAATTTATAAAATATTCAAAAGAATATGCCCTTTTGCCAAAATTATTTCCATATGAAAACTTTTTATCAGATTTCTTCTTCCATTCGGAATGTTAACGCTAAGCCCCGGTTTTTAATGTCTTGAATTATATTTAAATGATAATTATTTAAAATAACAAACTGCCTAGATATGTATGTGTAAACTTACACATACATATGTATTTGAACCGCTTGATAAACAACTTTCATAGTGTTATCTAGTGGCCGATTGACGTCAGTCTCTACGAGGTGTTATTTTATGAAAAAAAAAAAAACAATGAAGAAAAACAAAAACGTGCCCTATTGACATTGTGAATTAGCTTATAAAACACTGTAATTTCCCCCACTTTGCGACTATCCTCCGCCCCATAACTGAGTCTCTTGTTACTATTTTTATGTAATTATATATCCAGTTAATCAACAACAACAACTATTGAATGAACTTAGGCGTAAAGGTGTTTGTTTGTCTGTCAAATGGCCCTAACGTCTCCGCGCCAAAGAACACCCCTTGAATGAATTAAAACGACAACTTAATATAATTAAAATATTAGAAGTGGAAATGAAAGACTGTCTGTCTGTCGGTTGGTTTATATAAATATTTGAACGAAAAAAAAAAACATTGAATAAAAAAAACGTTTGTCAGGCATTTCAATTTCGATAACGATAACCAACCAGCCAACCACTTGGCTGGTCGTATCTCTACACAAAATTAACAAAAAAAAAAAAAAAAAACATTTTATAGGTTGGGCCATATTTTATTTTTTTTTTTCGTTAGATTGTGTCTGAACTGAATGTTCGCAGCGAAGTATGTATGTCGCGCGTCTCAATGTGGCCCACACATGGGTGCATAACAAAAAAATGTGAATGTGTGTAATCAAAACAAAATAGCACATTCATAACAAATCACGTTTTATATACTTTCGCCCATATACAAACGAACTCCCATATACATATGTACATATTGATGTATGCATATACGTATCTGTGTGTGTGTATTCTGAATCAGTTGTTGTTAAATAAACACAATTAATATTAAAATGTATGCCTGTGTGTGAATGGCGTACGTTCTCCTCTTTATCAAATACCCTACCTTAGCTTACCAACAAATACCCTACCAAGCAAGCCAGGCCAACCAATAAATACATTTACACGTTTTTCTATTCCCTGCTAGAAATTTCTGTTCTCGCTTGCCGTTTCGTACGTAGGTACAATCGTATAAATTATAATAAAAATAATAATAAAAAAATGCCAGAAAATAGCAAACATTCCCCTAGCAGATAACTTTAATAACAAAATACCCGACGACGACGACGTCGACGGACCGGACAACAACATTAACGGCCTGACACGATTGTTGTGATGCGGTATGGATGGCAAAGTCACATCAACTAACCAACCAAACGGCTGGCTGGCTGGCAAACAAAACAAGCCAACCAACGAAAGAAAGAAAGAAAAAACATTATTTTTGTTGATAAGAATCGTTGTTGCTATGTCAGCACAGAATCGAAAGAATTCTCCTAGTCATTCATTGAGATTTGAATTTTTATGGGGTTCTAGATTTCAATTTGATTAGGATGTTGAAACAAAAAAAAAAAAAAAACAAATAATAGGGACTATTGGAAATTAATAAATATGTGGATAGGAAAGTTAATTTAAGATCCCTTGGAACGGAGTTTAATTTTCAGGGATCAATGTTGCCAAGATGTAAGCTTAAGGTCTTCTGTGCCACACAGAAGGGTCTTAAGTCGACCTTAAGCTCTTCTCATCTATTCTCGTATAGAAGAGCTTAAGGTCTTCTCTTTTCGTATAGAAGATCTTAAGGTCTTCTCTTTTCGTATAGAAGAGCTTAAGGTCTTCTCTTTTCGCAAAGAAGAGCTCAAGGTCTTCTCTTTTCGCAAAGAAGAGCTTAAGGTCTTCTCTTTTCGCAAAGAAGAGCTTAAGGTCTTCTCTTTTCGCAAAGAAGAGCTTAAGGTCTTCTCTTTTCGCAAAGAAGAGCTTAAGGTCTTCTCTTTTCGCAAAGAAGAGCTTAAGGTCTTCTCTTTTCGCAAAGAAGAGCTTAAGGTCTTCTCTTTTCGCAAAGAAGAGCTTAAGGTCTTCTCTTTTCGCAAAGAAGAGCTGAAGGTCTTCTCTTTTCGCAAAGAAGAGCGTAAGGTCTTTTATTATCCGATAGAAGACCTTAAGTCTTTTATTATCCGATAGAAGAGCTTAAGGTCTTCTATTATCCGATAGAAGAGCTTAAGGTCTTTTATTATCGCATAGAAGAGCTTAAGGTCTTTTATTATCGGATAGAAGAGCTTAAGGTCTTCTATTATCGCATAGAAGAGCTTAAGGTCTTCTATTATCGCATAAAAGATCTTAAGGCATTCTATAATCGCAAAGAAGAGCTTAAGGCCTTCTGTAATCGCGCAGAAGAGCTTAAGGTCTTCTGTTATCGCATAGAAGAGCTTTAGGTCTTCTATTATCTCATAGAAGAGCTTAAGGTCTTCTCTTTTCGTATAGAAGAGCTTAAGGTCTTCTCTTTTCGTATAGAAGAGCTTAAGGTCTTCTCTTTTCGTATAGAAAATTCTAAGTTCTTCTATTTTCGTATAGAAGAGCTCAAGGTCTTCTCTTTTCGCAAAGAAGAGCTTAAGGTCTTCTCTTTTCGCAAAGAAGAGCTTAAGGACTTTTATTATCGCATAGAAGAACTTAAGGACTTCTATTATCCGATAGAAGAGCTTAAGGTCTTCTATTATCCGATAGAAGAGCTTAAGGCATTCTATAATCGCAAAGAAGAGCTTAAGGTCTCCTATAATCGCGCAGAAGAGCTTAAGGTCTTCTGTTATTGCATAGAAGAGCTTTTCGTATAAAAGTGCTTAAGGTCTTCTATTATCGCATAAAAGAGCATAAGGTCTTACTTTATCGAATAGAAGAGCTTGAGATCTTCTATTTTCGTATAGATGGTGTTTCCGATGGTAGAGCTCAAGGTATTTTACCTTCGCATAGAAAAGCTTAAGGTTGTCTATTTCCTATAAGGGAGATTGAACTATTTTGTACAGAAGAGTTTAAGGTCTCCTTGAATATCACATGCGATCATTTATTTGCTCTTCATTTTGATAGAACACAGTTTTAAGTCTTCTTTTTATTGAGATGGTTCCTTAGAGAAGACCACTTGGTATTTTTTTTATCACAGTCTGTCATGAAGCTTATTACTCAGAGAAAATCAGGAATCTCATTCTATTCACATACGTAAACATCCTAAGATCCTTAATGCATACATAATTTTTAAACATTTTGATAAGACCTTCTCAAACAAATCAAAATAGTCCCGCCATTAAACTCGCCTGATCTTATCTTCAAACTGGCAATAATTAATCAAAACGATTCTAAAATTAAATACACCATTCTTAGAAATTAAAAATAAAAAGGAAAACAAACTTGTGTATCATGCCCTGGCATCGTGATACATCGACA